TATTTCTGTCCCCCTCACTTCTGAAATGATGGCTATTTCCCTGGCTGGCGCTTCATTCTCACTTTTTTTTTTTCAATCGTACATTCAATCGTACATTTATGTTTTTTGTATGAATTCCACCTAATGGTGGAGCTTACCTTTTTTAAAAAAAAAAAGATCATACGTTTTTATCAGTAAGGCTAACCGTCAGTAGGTGGTAAGTAGATCGAATTGTATGAATACATATGAATTGACCACCAATTTGCCAAAATGTAAAATAGTTATAAATTGCCATGAGACTGTGTATCAACTCCTGCCAATCAACGGCATCGATGGACCACTTCTTGTCTCTATAATCGTTTACTCTGAAATAGAAATAAACAAGTGAAGTTAATCATACTAAATCTTGGCGTTGATCACCTGCAGAGGGTATAAAAATATGAAAATGTGTCCTCTTTATTCAGATCCGAGGTGTCATTTACATGTGCAAAAATCACCTTTTCCACTTCTCAGATACCAGAACCGCAAACATGCATTGTTTCTCTTTGAATTTATAATTACGCGATTAGCGTCCACATCAAAAACCGAAAAGCGTGTTTCAAAAACACAAATAGCTCAAAGCAAACATCCTCGAGAGGTGCGCTGCAGCGCGTGAATCATAATTCAGGGATTCTGCTCTAGCTGGTGGTGAAAGTGTAAAAACTGCTGAAATAAAGACATGTGGAATTAGGAACCTAATTAGGGTAATCTGTTTCTTCAAATAGGACAGATTTGATGAAGGGCTGGTAGATGCCGAGAAAGAGAAAGAGAGCAAGATGATGGGGTAATGGGAATAGGGAAATGCAGGAAAAGCTTAGGCCCTGGTAAGAAAATAGCGCTAACCCGCAAGGCCCATCGACAGCGCATTCTCTCTTCCCCAGAGTTCATTAATTAGTTAATTAGTCTGAGCAGATGACTGTGGTACACAAATCAGCAGCTCCGAGGGGCAGCTGGGCAGAGGCAGAGATGGAAGGTGAGGGCGCCTCAGATCTGGAGAGAACTTGCACATTGGTGGAGCGCTAATGCTAACGCAGATAGCCTGCTGCAGTACACAGTGCACATGTGCACGAGCACTCACAGCTCACTCTGGCCTTCTGCCTCTCCCTCCTCAGACCGTGTGTAAGGAATTTCAGATAGACACACATGTGTATGAGGCTTCAGAAACACACAGGATCCTGAAACAAACGCTGTGTTTGTGTGTGTGTGCTGCATTAGCATCGGTTTGAATGAATTCTCTGCTTCACTGCAGATTTAAAAAGGCGCTTCTGACAGTTATTTTTAGCATGTTCACATATCTCCCTTCTGTCTCTATTCTTTCACTTGTTCTGTCTCTCTCTCCACCTCTCCCCCTTTCTCTGGCTCTCTTTCGTTTTATCTCTCTTTTGCTGTGTAAATGTGCATATGCATATAGCTCATACGGTTCTGGCTGGTGTCTGTGCACATGGGAGCTGGATAGGGTCCAATTTTGTGCTAAACCTGCTTTTATGATGCAGAACACTGTTCTGTATCTTTTTTTTTGCTTCCTTTGTGCATTTTTTTTCTGTTTGAAAATGCTTCATCCAATCCAATCATCCAATGGGGCTGGAATGGCAAGACACAAACGCGTAATCCTCTTCACCACTATAGAAAAACCTCTTTAAAGCAGAATAGAGAGAAAGGGAGGGAGACAGATAATACACTGAAAGGTTACTCTTATTCATCCATGTACCAAAATTCCTCACCCCTGCTAATAATCATCCTTTGTGCAACCTTTCAGGGCAGCGTACATGTATTTTTGTTTTTGTACAGTGAGGGCTATACAACATACTCAGTGTATGCACATTTTTTGTATGCATGGATATCTGCTGACCACTAGCCAAAATGTGCTGTATGCATACTGGGTGGCATAATGTCAACCTTTTTTATTGACACATTTTTTGACAAACTTCTACACTAAATGCTTTTACACAGACTAAAATTCTGGAGTTATTAAATGTGTAGGGCTATAAATTAAGTAACAGTGTATATTGCAATGATTTAATGCAATCATTTTTATTGGTTCACTATTTACTAAAGTATGAGGGCTAAAGATTTCAGTATCAAAATCAGCATTAGTAATTTTGATTCATCTCTGTAAATCAGCTTAAAGGGGTCAAATGATGTTGCTAAAAAGAACATTATTTTGTGTATTTGGTGTAATGAAATGTGTTTATGCGGTTTAAGGTTAAAAAACCACATTATTTTCCACATACTGTATGTTATTGTTTCTCCTCTATGACCCGCCTTTCTGAAACGCGTCGATTTTTACAAAGCTCATCGGTCTGAAAAGCGAGGTGTGCTCTGATTGGCCAGCTATCCAGTGCATTGTGATTGGCCGAATACCTCAAGCGTGTGATGGAAATGTTACGCCCCTTACCATATTGTGATGCCGTGTCCCGGCCGGAGCGACAAGACAAAAACATTAAAACCCATTATAAACGAGGCATTTTTTGCATCCAGTGGGGACATAATTATGCATTATAATGACTTATACTGTCTTTTTACGCGTTGCGTTGCATCGCGCCGCGTAAACATATATAACATAAATAATCCTTTTAACCCCTTTCAGAGCATATACATAAACACTAAGTATCATCAAAATGCTTTTTTCTCCTACATCTCAGAATAGACAATATTCTACACTGAATCTCTCTTCTCTATTCGTACGCAGGCCGATATGAGAACGGCTAATACAAGATGCGTTTGATCAGTGTATGAATTAAACACTTGAGAACACACACAGGCCAGAACTACTTCACTTACAACTTTGACTCAGATCACTTCATCTCCACAGGGAACTGTTTCATTTACCTTCTTAGTCTGTTTAGATTTATATTCAATCTGTCATTCTTGAAGGTAAACTTAGCCTGGCCTTCTGCATTCATTATGCGTCCATGGAGAAAGGGAGGCAAACCCGCCTCTGTGCAGAAACAGCCCAAAAAGCAATTCTTTCACACTATGCATGAAACATTCCTTGTGAATCTTTGATATGACACCTAAACCAAACTCGAAACTTAAGTGTACTTTAATGTTGTTACTAACAGCTAGGAAATGCAGTCATAATTGTGTCTTTTTTACAGTTTAGTGCCACTGAAAGTGGAATATAGGCTTTTACTTCTCCCCGATTGGGTTACTGTAATTCTTATATCCTAAAATCACTTTTCAATATCTTTAAATTGACAAAGAGCAGTACTCTACTTCTAGAGTTCCGTCCGTTTCTTCTTCCTGATTAAGTTACTGTAATTCTTCTATTCCAGATGACGCCACTTAATGTGTTAAAGTTGAAGTAGAGTAGAACACCATGTCTAGATGCTAATGACTCAAAAATACTCAAAAAAAAAAAAAATAATGAAGAGAATAAAATCAATATTCTTCTAAAATCTCTCTGATGGCTTCATATAATTCACAAAATAGATTTTACAATTCAATAACCAAGCTCTATACAGTTGTACACTACAACTTCTTCCCTTTCTTTTCATCACAACCTTTTCAACATTTTTCTTTATGTTCTCTGAATAAAATAAAATAAATCAGCTTTATAGATGAAAAACCAATCTAATAATTCAGGAACTAAATGAGAATAGTGCTCCTTCTAAAACTCAAAACACCAGTAATCAGTTTTGATTTACTGTATTGTTCTCTGAATATATTTTAGCTAAAAAGACAAGTAAACAGTAATAAAATAAGAATATATAAATGACAAACAATGGCACAAACAAATACAATAACAAGATACAACTAAAATTAACTGTGCTTTAAGTTTTCAGGTATAACAGTAATATTCAGGTACAGAAATACCACAGAAACTGAATAATCTATTTAACTTTAAAATAACACTGGTTAGTCTTCAATGTATAAAAAAACAGACAGCGGCAGGTTTATTTAGGTTGCTGTCTCTTTAAGACCTCATGCACTGATCTAACTGTTGCACATAAGTTTTGTTTCTCAACTGTTTACGTTCACTTAATAGCCTATATACTGACAATGTTTAGTATAAACTGACTGTTTATGTGAATACTCATCAAGATGGCATTTTGACATCATTTTGTATGTACTTGGCTGTTTACGCGCAATAAGACGCAACACAACTTCATTCTGTAGTCACGCGCTCTCAGATGCGGCTCTATGTGCACGTGCTCTGGGTGTGAGCTCAAAGAAAGGGGTCTCACAGAGAGTGCGCAAGCACTGAATTGAGCACTTGAATGTTTCAAATTGTAAGACTGAAAAGCATGTGCAAACGATATATTCCGTCATCTTTCGCACTGAAATATTTGCGGGAATTTCCCACGCTACAAGCGTGGAAACTGCGGGAATCAGTAGAATTATGAGCAATCCCCGCAGTCCTGCACCGAAATTCAAGCCCTGTGTATATATATATACTGCACAAACATTCACACAGGAAATTTTATGGAATTTTTCACTCACAAGTCTTCTGAAGCAACACAATATCACTCAAAATCTCATTTGCACTTACATTCAAAAATGGCATGTCAAGACATGTTGCAGCAGCTTTGGCATGAAAATCAATGACGTTCGACTTCACTGATGCCAAATCTGGTGCAACATGACCTGACATGCCATATTTAAAAGTATGAATGAGATTTGACGTTTATGGTAGAGGGGTAGATTTTAAGCAAACTTTGACACTTTTTATGGTGCTTTTTATTTAATTTTGGAGCTTGACAATCCCTTTTCCCATTCAAAAAGGACACCCAGAGCATACTGAAAACTATCATCTTTCGTGCGCCAAAGAAAGACCGTCATACAAGTTTGGAACATGGGGTGAGTAAATGATGACTGAAGTTCAATTTTGGGGTAAACTATCCTTTAAATGTCATAAACAAAATTTAAATGAACAAGAACTATCATAAGACAACTGCAACAGTTTTTATCTCTTATGGTACGTGGAGACAATTATACGCACAAATGGGGCATTAAAAGACTTGCTATAATGTTGTACTTACCCAGAACGCCCAACCTGTAGTTCATAGTGACGACAATCACGTTTCCATAGGCAGCAAGAACGCTTGCATCAAACATGTTTCCCGTTCCCTCCATGTATGAACCACCATGGATAAACAACATCACAGGCTTCTTCCGACGATCTCTAATATCTGTGTAAAACATAAACATGCATAAAAATGATTACGTGAATGCATGTTATATTAATTAACACCAATAATGATCTGCTTAGTGAGTAAACCGTGAAAGCCTGATATTATGCACTTAAGAGCTCGTTTAAATAAAAAACATTATTTTTCAACCATGCATGTTAAATAAAAATAAAATATATATTTTATTTATATATTTTTATAAATAAAAATATCTTTATTTGACCCTCTAACTCTAGCACTCTATTCTAATTCTATTCTAAAAAAAAAAAACTTGCCCCTTTTAGACTTGCACTCTATTTATTTACTAACTGCTTGTTTTCTTAAAAAAA